CTGGCAGAGTGGGACACGAGGGGGGCTGGCAGAGGGGCAGTCAGCAGCACCTCTGTTGTGATGGGGCCCTGCCAGCACCTTGTGTGCAGCTGTTCCTGGCTCAGGACCCTGCAGCTGCCATGTGCTCCTGCTGCACCACTTCCTGCCCATCCCCAGGGCAGGACACAGGGTGGGACATGGGACATATGCAGAGCAGGCCATCCTCACAGCCAGATGGAAACCATCCACAGCCTCAGAGTCCTGCTGGGGAGTGTGTCTGCTTGATAGCTCAGCCGTTTGCAGGGTGGCTTTGAGCTCGTGTCTGGGAAGGCATTTCCAAAGGGCGGGACACCAGGGCTTCACCAGCAGCCTGGAATCCTAAATCTGCATGACACGCTGGCTGCATCCAGGGTATCCATGTACCATGAATGAGCTACTGGTGGGATGTAACTCTTTCACAGAATCATAGAATCACACACTGGTTTGGGTTGGAAAGGACTTTAAAGCTCATCTTGTTCCACCCCCTGCCATGGGCAGGGACAACTTCCACCGGCCCAGGCTGTCAGAGCCCCGCTGCAGGAGAGCAGATCCTTTTTGGAAGGGTGTCCCTGAACCAGTCTGCATTTCAGACCAGCACAGCCCCTGCCCCCTCCTGCCCGACCTCCTGGCACTGCAGCAACCCCCCCCAGTGCTGCTCTGGGCAGGGCTGTGGGTGCTCTGGGAGCGGTGGGAGGCTGAGCCTGCCGGGCTTCTGGGGCCGTGGTGGCACTGGGAGCTGGCACTGGGAGAAGGTCAGTGTGTGCAGAGCAGGCTCAGGCTGTAAGCACAGCTCTGCTGAGCCCCTACAGGGGGTGCAGCCATGGGGGCCCTGCTCAGGAGCTGTTGGGTGGTGCCCAGCACTGGGGGTTTGCAGTCCAGGGAGGAAAACCAGGACACTGGGCTGAAGGACATCCTGGAGAGCTGGGGTTCGGTGTGGTGCAGAGCACACGGGAATTTCCAGGGCCCTGGGAGAAAACTGGAGGTTTGGGCTAATATTTTAAAAGGGGAAACAGGGCGCCGTGGGTAATTTCAGGTCTGTCAGGCTGACATTGATCCCAGGGAAAATAGTGGAACAGCTGATAGGGAATGCAATGAATAAAGAATCCTAAAGGGTGATATAATTAATGCCAATCAACAGGGATTTATGGAAACAAGATCCTGTTAATCCAATCTGACACCTTTCTTCCTGTTGGTTTTTTTCCTCTTTTCCTTTAAAAACAGGATTGCATTTCTCTGTGGAGGTGGGGAGGTTTGCTGAGGACACTGAAGCAGCAAGGGATCACCTGGACACTGTGTGTTTTCTCATAAAAAAATAGGAAAATCAAAAAAACATATTGGTTAAGACCACATTTTGGAGCTCATGAGTGGGCACATATTGTCACTGCAGGGTCTGCAGGGGATTGTCCCCCTGGCTGGTCCCACCAGCAGTGGGGAGGATGCTCTGGGCTGTGTCCCCAGTGCACTGGGAGCAGAGATGTTCTGCTGGGATGTCACAGGGGGTGCTGGAGGGACACTGCAGGTGATCTGCACAGTGGGGAGCACTGAGCATCAGGTTGCCATGGAAAGGCCTAATAATGATGGTGGGAAGAGTTCAGAAGAGGCCACAGAGGTGCTCCAGGGCTGGAGCCCCTCTGCTCTGGAGCCAGGCTGGGAGAGCTGGGGGGGTTCCCCTGGAGAAGAGAAGGCTCCAGGGAGAGCTGAGAGCCCCTTGCAGGACCTAAAGGGGCTCCAGGAGAGCTGGAGAGGGACTGGGGACAAGGGATGGAGGGACAGGACACAGGGAATGGCTTCCCACTGCCAGGGGGACGGGAGAGATGGGATATTGGGAAGGAATTGTTGGCTGTGAGGGTGGGGAGACCCTGGCACAGGTTGCCCAGAGAAGCTGTGGCTGCCCCTGGATCTCTGGAAGTGTCCAAGGTTGAGTTGGATGGGGCTTGGAGCAGCCTGGGCTAGTGGGAGGTGTCCCTGCCCATGGCAAGGGGTGGAATGAGGTTGGGCAGGAAATAAAATCAACCACATAAAGGGGAAATTTTGGTCCAAACAGTTCCAACAGCAGATGGAAAGGGGGATTTCCAGGCCAGTGGCTGGGGCTGTACCCAGGGAGCCTCACAGGGAGGGAGGGGGCTTGGGACAGCAGGTGCAGGACACGAGCTGGACACTGTCCCCACCAGTGCACCAGACAGCAGTGACCTTTGGGCAGGACATCAGTCTCAGAAAATATTGGTAAATACATTTACTTATAGACTGTCTAGGCCCATATCCAGAGGTGTGTTCAGGTGGGACTGCACCTTCTGGCTCTGCAACTCCCTGACAGGAGAGGGGAGCCGGGGGGGAAGTCAGACTCTGCTCCCAGGGAACAAGGGACAGGACAAGAGGGAACAGCCTCAAGCTGTGCCAGGGGAGGTTTAGGCTGGATATTAGGGAAAGTTTCTTCATGGAAAGGATTGTCAAGCCCTGGTACAGCTGCCCAGGGCAGTGCTGGAGTCACCATCCCTGAAGGGATTTAAAAGACATGTGGATGTGGCACTTGGGGACAGGGGTTAGTGGTGAGTGTGGAAGTGTTGGGGGGATGGTCGGACTCAGTGGTCTTAGAGGGCTTTCCTAACTCAGATGTTCTACGGTTCTATGGTTCTATGACCTGACAGCCCAACCATCCCCATGCTCTAGGTGCAAGCTCAGTATCACCAAACATCACATCCTCTCCTTGGTAACTCTCCCCAGGTTCCCCAGCTTCCCTGGGGGAACCTTCTCCCCATCTCAGCCCAGGCACACAAGCAGCAGCCTCACCTTGTAATATTTAAAACAATTTTATTCATGAAAATATGCTGTACAATGCACTATACACAGTTCTTTACATTGCCACATACACAAACTCTAATAGCACAACCAAGAAAGTTACCATTGCCTACGATAGATGTGTGGTGAGAGATGACCTCAGACCCTCCCCCCCAGTCTGTACAGTTATAAATACGAGGGAAAGGACGGACCCAAAACCACTGTATGAGCAAACCGGGGGGGCCCCTCGGCGTCCCCCCACACCAGCTCCAGGCAGGGCTGAGCAGGGCTGGGAGCAGAGGGAGCTCTGTGTTCTCAGGGCACCAGGGGGAGACGGGGTGATGGAGCAGGGAGGGTGAAGCTGAGTGAGGGGATGTGAGGGGGCCTCGCTGTGTTCAGAGAGAGAACCCTCGGTCACCCCACAGTGACACAGAGCCCTGGTGTCCCCTCGGCCACCCCACAGTGACTCAGAGCCCTGGTGTCCCCACACTCGCACTCACAGAGGGCACAGCCGTGCCAGCCACCCCCAGGACCCCCAGGACCTGCCTGCCCCACGGGCATCAAGCACAGCCCTGAAACCCCCGTGCCACCCCCGCCCCGGGTCCCTGGGCTCCCCTGCAGCCCCCCTGGCCCGGGGTCCCAGCCGCTGTGGGGTCTCTGTGCCTGCCCCCCGCCGTCCCTCGCCCCGCACACGACTGAACACACGACGCTTCAAAACCAACACGACTCCACCGCACACACAACAACCCCACGGTCACAAACCACAAGGACAGCTGGGCAATGGGATGTGCCCCGGGGCATCGAGGGGCTCCAGCAGCGGGGCAGGGGGGCAGCGGGAGGGGGGCAGGCATGGGACAAGGAGAGGGTTTTCTCCTGCTGCTGGTGTGGCTCCCCCTCCACACCGATGGTCGGGTCTGTGACACCACAGGGAGTTTGGGGGTCCATGTGCCAGAGAATCCCATCTGCAAACGCCTGCCTGCTGGCCCGGTGTGCTGGTGTGCTGCTGGAGCTGTGCCTGGACACTGGATGCCTGGAAGAGCCAGGACCCCTTCTGTTTCTCCCGTTCTTGGGGGCAGAGCCCCCCTTTTTCCTCCAGGGCAGCCCTCCCTGCCCTCCCTGACTCTGGGTCCCTCACACCCCACGTGCTGAACTGGGGGGGGCCAGGGATTAATTTACCATTTGCGACCGGTTTCCAAGGATTTGAAATATGCCTGAAACGAAAGGTGGTGTACAAAAGGAATGTGGTAATGATCCTGACCAAAGAATAACCCTTTTTTAAAAAGCATTCAAGAAAGATTATATATAATAGAATATATTAAATTCTGTACATGATCAAATAATGTAAACATAATTAATTAACTTGTAAGAATGTCTTCAGATACTGTGCCTGCCGTGTGCCCTGGTCAAAGGTGGACGGTGGCACATGGGGCTCCTGTGTCACACGGGGCTCCTGTGTCACACTTTGCCACAGCCCTGTGGGTCAGGAGAGGAGCAGGAGGTGCCCACCCACAGGTCCCTGCCCTGACTCTGGGCAGCCACACTGTCCCTGCAGCTGGAACCCGGTGCCTGCACTGTGCCAGGGGAGCAGGTCCTGGGGCGAGAAGGGAAGAGCTGGGATGGGAGCATGTGCTGGTTCAGCAGACTGACCTTGCTGCAAGGCAGGGGCTGGGGCTTAGAGAGAGCCTGTGGTGCCCAGGAGGAAAGATGGATGAGCAGAGACTCCACAGGACAGAGCAGCAGCTCCCACCACATCCTCCCAGCCCCTCCAGTGCCTCCAGAGCACGGACCAGTCGCTGCTGCCGCCCACCAGCCTGCCCCCTCCAAAACCCCCCTGCACCCAGGGCAGAGCTGCCCTACAGCTGTGCAGGATGGTTGTGGCCCCCTGGCCCACTCCTGCCCCACTGAGGCAGTGGGGCCAGTTTGGGGGCCTGGCACGCAGCAGGAGCACGTGTGAATTGTGGTCCCCATCCCCACAGAGCTCTGGCCCCTGGAAGGCAAGTGCACCCCTCTTGCTGACAGCCCCCTGGACCAGCTCTCCTGGCATCTTGGGGATGGGCAGTGAGCCACTGGAGCCCCACAGCCCTGGCTGTGAGCCCTATGGCACCTCCCTGAGCAATGTGGGTCACCCAGGTTTGGGGCAGAAAGGACCCCACCCTGCACCTGGAGGCCTGGCCACCACAACCCTCCTCTTCTTGAGGGTGACCCCCATCACAGCTTTCACCCCATCATCCAGCACCCAAAGCCATGGCCAAGCCAAGATGAGCCCTGTGACGGGACACAGCCACCAGCACTGCCCATGGCCTCTCTCTCCTGTCCCTAAGCTCGACCCTTTCTTCCTTCCAATGCAAAAACTCAATGGCAAAAGAGTGCATGAAATCAAATAAATATGCCCCCTCCCCAACCCTGTGAGCTGCCCCTGAGCCTCCAGCACAGGGGACCCATTCCAGCACCACATCACTCCCAGCAGGACCCCCCCGGGCCCTGCCCACGCCTGCCCCAGGCAGGGACTGCAGCATTCCTGGGGCACCCCCAGCCCCCAGCAGGCGAGAGGGCTGCCCAGATGCTGTTCCCAGGGCTGCTGCCTGCACACCCTCCCCTCCATCACCACCCCTCTCACTGCTTGGTAAGAAAACCTGCCTGGGGCCACACAAGGACACTCCCTGTGGAGGTGTCCTGGGTATGTGGGCTTGGCAGAGCTCTGACCTCCACCAGGACTGAGGGGTGACGAGCCCCCCCCACCCCTCCCCGGGGCAGGGTCCCCACTCCTGACACTTCTACCCAGAGGACTCATTTCCCAAGGTGGTTCAGCGAACAGTCCCTTCCCATGGGAAACGATCACACCACCAGCCGTCACCGCTCCGTCACCCAGCCCAAGGGCAAATCAAACTGGCACCATCACAGTGGGGCACTGGGACCATCTGGAAAGGCCTTCCCTTCCTGCTACCCCCCTGGATCCGTCTGGCTCCAGCTGCCTCTCCCACTCAGCTGCCCTGTGTCCTTTGGAGGATGCCCATGGGAGGACCCAGCAGACGGGGCACACGTGGGGCTGGGGGCCCTCCCCCTCCATCTCAGTATTTGACCCTCCGGTTTGTGTTCCGTGTTCGACCTCGAGCTCAGACCGACGGCTCTCGCCCATCTTAACAAACAAAGGCAGAAGAGAAAGGAAAAAAAAAGTTAGTCTCAATGTTCCCCTCGTGGCTTCCCGGTGGTCAGCCCCCCCCCGGGGCGGGCATCACCCAGGCACCCAGCTCTGGTTCGTGGGCTGTGGCCCCCCGGGCAGCGCGGGCATGTTGAGCCCGTTCTGCGGCGGGAGGGCCGAGTCGAAGTTGAAGTCCATCTCGTCGCTGTCCATAAAGTCATTCAGGATAATCGACTCCACGTCGCACTCCAGGCTCCCGTTGAACATGTCCAGGTCCAGGTCTGCTGGGAACCTGTCTTGGCCCAACACGGGGGGGTGGACGGCCCCCGGGTAGGGGCCCTGCAGTGAATCCAGCAGGCTCATGTGTGCCCCTTGGTTATTGGTGTAGGGATGCAGGTGCCCGTGGTGCGGCACGGCCGCCATGCTGCACGAGTCGCTGGGCAGGCTCATAAGGCTGACAGGATTGGCTAAGGCACTGGTGTTGACCGCGGGGTGGTGGCCGGCTGGTGACGGGTGGTACAACGCGCCGCTCTTCATGAGAGAGCCCGGGTGGGACGGGTAGGAGGACAGGCCCTGCTCCCCGCCCCCGCACAGCAGCGGGTTGTGTCTGTGGCCACGGGCCGGCACCATGGGGCTGGCCTGCGGCAGGGGCAGGTCCCCCGGGACCATGCTCTCCTTGTGTGCGTAGGAGATGGAGGAGAGCAGGTCCTGCAGCGAGGCGTTCCTGTAGGAGCTGACGGGAGAGAAGGTGGCCTGCTTGTTCTCCTGGATGGTCTGCATGGGCAGGCGGCGCATGAGGCCCATGGCCGGCTGGCTGTAGATGGTCCCGCAGTAGGTGTTGCCGGCAGCCCCCATGTTGGAGCACTTGGAGTTGAAGGTGAAGCTGGAGCTGCGCTGCCGCAGGGCGGCCGGCGGGAGCTGCTGGCTCGGGCTCATGGCGTAGCCGTCCTGCAGGTCCTCCAGCATGCTCTCCCCGAGGCTCTCGTTCAGGCTGATGGTGCCGGTCAGGTCGGTCAGCCGAGGCAGCTCCACGGAGCAGCGGGCGCTGAGGGAAGGAGACATGGTGCTGGAGGGGCTGGGGTACATCAGCGGGGAGGAGGGGGTGCCGTCGTCCTCCTCCAGCTCGTCAGGCTCGTGGTTGGCCATGATGGGCGAGAGGCGCCCGCTCAGCGTGCTGGCCGTGGAGCTGGCGCGCGTCCGGAAGTCTGCCCAGGCGTCGTACTCATCGCTGGCGTGGGACGCAGGGCTCTCCGACCACTTGGGCTGCTGGGAGGAGGGGCTGTCCTCCCCGCGCTCCTGCGTCACCTGCAGCTGCTTCTTCTTGCTGGCCTTGCCCTTGATGCGCAGGAACTTGCTGTTGTTGTCCATGGACACCGCCCGCCGCCGCGGCGTCTTGCCCGTCTTGCCGCCCTCGGGGTTCAGCATCCACCAGGAGCTCTTGCCGGTGCCCTCGTTCTGCACGCGGATGAAGCGGGTGTGCAGGGACAGGTTGTGCCGGATGGAGTTCTGCGGGGACAGCAAGGACAGGGGGACGTCAGCAGCAGCTCCAACACCCCAGAAGGGAGGGGACACCCAGAGGGCTGGGGGGCACACAAGGCATCATGGGGGACCTGGGCTCCATCCCCTGGGACACCGTGGATGTCTGAGCCAGAGGGGTCGGGACCAGGAAGGCTCAGTTGGTGAGTCCCTCCCACAGCCCTGCTGGGCATCCCAGTGCCAGGCATCCCGTTTCCAGGACCCCGTGGTCATGGCCCTTCACTGCATCGGCCAGCTCTGTGTTAGTGCAGTTACTGTCATGGCAGGGACAGGGGTGTCCCTGTATCCCAAGGACCTGCAGCAGGCAGGGCCGGGTCTCAGGGGACCTTTCTTCCCTGGTAGGAGCCTAGGGAGGGACAAGGTGAGGAGGCAACAAATGCAGAGGCAGAATCAGGACCATGCACAGGTCCAGGTCTTCTCCCAGCCCTAGCAGATCCTATGGGATGCTCCCAGCACAGCCTGCACCTCTGCAGGATCCCAGGATCCCAGCCCACTCTCCACCAGCTCCACAGGCAGAGGAATCCCCTTTGGAGTGGACTCCAAGCCCCTTCCCCTGCCCGGCACTATTCAGGATGTGCTCCCCTCCTCCCTCAGCACACCCTGTGCAGGGCACATCAGCACCACCACAGCCCAAAGCTACCTGTTGGCACCAGTGAGATCTTGTCCCTAAAATGCGTGTCACTGGCAGTCTGTCTCTCTGGGTGTCTGCAGCCTGGCTCTGGTGGCAGGGACACACACCCTGCAAACCCAGCAGAACCCTCACTGCCCAGAGCACGACTGGCTGGGGCTGCTTCCTCCCTGGACACGTCTGGCTCCCTCCTCCACATCCAGTATCTCAGGGGGTTCCCTGCTGAGAGCAGTATTTGGTTCCCTTGGCTCTGAGCAGCTCCCTGGCTGGAGCAGGAATGGCCTTGCAGGAGGCAGGAATGGGGGTCACATCCCAACACAAGCACCCCCAGCTGCCCCTGCCCTGGGGGGTGACAGGCTGGAGTGACCATGCGGCGATGCTTTCAAAGCCCTGGCCTGGGGAAGAGAGGAGGTGAGGATGTGATACAGGCTGGGAGAGGAGCCCATTGAGAGCAGCTCTGCAGAGAAGGTTCTGGTGGGTGAGAGGCTGGACATGAGCTGGCTGTGTGCACTCAGAGACCATCCTGGGCTGCATCGAGGAGGAGTAGCCAGAAGGTCGAGGGAGGGGATTCTCTCCCTCAGCCCTTGAGAGACCCCACCTGCAGTGCTGCATCCAGCCCTGGGGCCCTCAGTACAGGAAGGTCACAGATCTGTTAAAGCAGAGGAGGTCACAGAGGTGCTCCAGGGCTGGAGCCCCTCTGCTCTGGAGCCAGGCTGGGAGAGCTGGAGGGGTTCACCTGGAGAAGAGAAGGCTCCAGGGAGAGCTGAGAGCCCCTTGCAGGGCCTAAAGGGGCTCCAGGAGAGCTGGAGAGGGACTGGGGACAAGGGATGGAGGGACAGGACACAGGGAATGGCTTCCCACTGCCAGAAGGCAGGGTTAGATGGGATGTTGGGAAGGAATTCTTGGCTGTGAGGATGGCACAGGTTGCCCAGAGAAGCTGTGGCTGCCCCTGGATCCCTGGAAGTGTCCAAGGTTGGGTTGGATGGGGCTTGGAGCAGCCTGGGGTGGTGGGAGGTGTCCCTGCCCATGGCAAAGGGTGGGTCTGGATGAGCTTTGAGGTCCCTTCCAACCCAAACTGTTCTGGGATCCTGACTCCTGCCTGTCCCTGCTGATGTGCAGCTCCTGGGATGCCACCCCAGCTCCCTGTACCTCAGTTTCCCAGGGGCCAGAGGAGAAAGGTAAGATGCAGATCCCAGGGAAGAGCATCAGTGTAGAGACCCTTCCCCCAGCACTGCCCGTGGCTCGGGGCTTGGCAGGGGCTGCTGGAGGGGGGAGGCAGCTCCCTGATCCTGCCCAGCTGAAGGGGGAACAGAGGGACAGGGAGGAGAAGGACCCCACAGTGCCGGGGAGAAAGTTTGGTGCTGTTGTGGTGTACAGTGGAATACTAATGAAGAGGAGAGTGAGCTCCAGCCTCATCTATCATATTATGTAATGGCTTACTTCTCTGCACTTCATTTATTTGGAGATTGCTCCCAGGCTGGCTCCTCGCCAGCAGCCACCAAATCCAAGTCTACAGAAATCAATCTCGCGCTGACTGATTAAGCCGTGTTTAGAACTAATTGCTCCTTCGTGTGTGGGGAGAATAAATTACGGGCTTTAATTTCACATCTTTAAAATGCAACTGCAGGTATGGGCCAGCTGTTAACCCCTTCCTGCACGGCTGGGGAGGGGCCTGGGGGGCGGTCGGGACACTGAGCTGCCCAAACGATGCTCGTCACCTTCAAGCAGAGCGAGCCAAGCCCTGGCCAGCCTGCCTGACAGGGAGAGTGCCCCTGACCCCTCCAGCACCTCTCCCTGAGCCACAGGCTGACCCGAGCTTTCCTCCACGCGACCAGGCTGCCGTGCAAGCGGCAGGGACAGAAGCAGAGCACGTGGCTGTCACTGCCTTGGCAGGGCCAAGGCCACCAGCCAGCTCAGCCCCAGGCACTGCCCTGCACCCACAGGCACTGGGGGCTGAGGATGCCCGGGCTGGGCTTGCTGGGGTGAAGCTGCTGGGCCCCTCACGGAAGGGAAGACTCCCAGGATCGCCGCAGTCCCCCCCTGCCAGCACTCCCCGAGTCTGCTCAGCCAGGCAGGGAAGAGCTGCTGCAACCCTGTGCAGCTGGCATAGAGCTGCTATGCAGAGCACGGGGAGAGGGGCTGGGGTTTGCAGGGTATGGGGATGCCACAGCTGGATGGGGATGACATTCATCATGCTCCCCCCACCCCGCAGCTCCAGTGCAAGGCTCTCACACCAATTCTAGACGCTGGGCAGGTAACAGGGCTACAGGACTGGCAGGGTCAGACTGCCAAGGGAGAGGAGGGAAGGGGAGGCTGCTGCTTCTCCTGCAGCCGAGCTTCATTAAGAGCCAGCAGACAGCAGCAATTAAGTGCAAGGTGCAGCAGGCCCGGCTCTCTCCTCATTAGCACCCCGACATGCTCGGCTGGCCGCGGCTCGGGGCGCACGGAGCGGGGCCGGGGCTGCACCGGGGCGGGTCGGGAGCTGATTAAAGCAGGCAGGCAGGGACCTGCCCCCCCCCACGCCCGGCAGCCTCCGGCTCCCGCAGCCCCAGCCTCGGCTGGCAAGGAGCAGGCAGGGGACGCGCGGGGGACATGAGGGCTGGCAAAAGCCCCCAACAGCAGCTGCCTTGGCAAGGGTTGGAGTCAGGCAGAGCACGGGGGGTGCAGGAAAGGCTGGTGCCAGCCGCAGGGTCCCCGCGATGCCTCTGAGACTGCTCTGCCCCTCTGTGCCTGCACCACTTCTCAGCAACCTGCACTCCTGGCCATGCCCTGCACCCTCGCTGTGCCCCCTCCCCATGGCCTGCGCCCCCGTGTCACCCCTGCCTGCCCACCCCGCTCCGATGGCTCAGCCCCTCTCCGGGATCCACAGCCCCAGGTACCCAAACGGCACCGGGCAAGGAGCATCAGCCCCCAGCGCAAACCCCGAGCGTGCCGGGGGTGACACCCACTCCTTCGGGTTCCACCGCTCCCCCGGCCTTCTGCCGAGGGCACGGGATGCTCTGGGTAGCGCAGGCGAGGGCCGGAGGTGGCACCAGGGGCTGCAGGTGGAGCGGAGCCCTGCTCAGCCCAGGCCGGCACCAGGGAGGGACGAGGCTGAGCCCGTGCCAGCCCCAGCCACCAGCTGCCAGAGGCTTTGCCAAGCTGGAAGACCCTGGTGCCATCCCGGTGCCCGTCTGCCGAGGGCTGGTCCTGCTGCGGGGCCTGAGGGGGGGCTGTGGGCACCCACAGAGCCCCCACCCCCCCAGGAGCCCTCCTCCGGCGAGCCTCATTGTCAGGGGAACAGGCAGTGTGAAATCGGTCTGATTAGCAATTAGTCCCATTGTAAAAGGATTAGCCAGACCCATTGTTTGAGAGAGCGACTTGACTGTCAATGGGCATCTGGTAGCGGCGATGAAGTTGATGCTGCTGCTGTGGTGGGAGCCATTCCCCATGTCCTCTGTCCAGACAGGACCTCCGAAATGAAAAACGACCCCCGAGACGAGCCTCGACCACCGAGCCAGGCACCGACCCCCGAAATGGGCATCGCTGCCAGACCCAGAGGGGCCTCTGCAGGGTCCCAAGCACCTGCCTATCCCCACCCCAGCAGCATGCCCAGGTTACACCTCCAGCCTTGGGGTGCCCACGAGTGTTTGGGGTACAAGGAGGGGGGCTGAACATCCCTCTGTGTGCCCCGAGGAGAGCACGGTGAGGGGAAACAAGTGCGATTCGAGTGAGAACAGGCAGAGAGCCAGAGCCGGGGAGAGCAAATGAGGGGCCCCGTGGACCCACTCCATCCCTGTCACATCCCCTGCACCCCTCTGCTGTCCCTACCACTGTCCCTGGGCTGCCACCAGTCCCCGCTGTCCCCACAGCACCAAGGGTTTTCCAAGCAAACCCACAAACACATCCCACACCTCGCAGCCCTGCTCTCAGAGACCCCCACGGCCAGGGTGTGTTGGGGGCTGTCTGTCTGCCCAGGCTGCCAGTCCATCCAGCTAATGAGCCCCTTCGTTACCTGGTGGCGATTCTCACACTGTTGACAGGAGGAAGCAGGGACAGGGACAACAAGACTAACAAGAGCTCTGCCGGCTGCTCTCTGGCAGCACAAGGACGGCTCCAGGGGTTAATTGATGCTTATTCACTTCTTGCACACAAAAATTGCCACTGTTGGAGGAAATACTCCGGAGGGCAGAGGCTGCCGACAACCTCGACAGGGCTCCATCCCTGGGGACGCTGTACAGGGCGGGTGGTGGCACGGGACATTCCACGGTGACACCCCCGAAGACATCCTATTCACCCAAGAAACGACTCTGCCCGCGGGCACCAGCAGCTAAGAGCACGGTGGCCATCCCCGTGGCATCCT